AGGGCAGAGGGCTATGCACAGCCGGGCAGCAGTGTCGGGACAGGGCAGCCCCAAGGGGTGGATTTAGGACCTGAAAGACAATTTGCATGCATGCGGGGTGCTCTGCCCTGCAGCTGCCAGACCCGAGTGTATCTGCTTCCCTTCCTGGGCCTCTCTGGTAGAGTGGCCGCTTCTTTGCTGCAGTCAGATGCTGCGGTCTGGGGACTCTGGAGTTGGGTGCATGTGCTCTCCAGCCTCTCCTCCTGTCTGGAAGGGTGATGGTTTGCAACAGGAGTAGTCTTGGCTTGCAGGAGGTGAGGGGATGCTGTGACATTTTTGGCTTGGTGGCTGGAGGCTTAGCTGCTGCGGAGTGCGGGGCCACTCACTGCGGGTTTGGGTCTGGTGCCTGGTGGGGAAGCAGTTTGCCGTGTGCTGGTCGCTGCATGTTGTGTGCTGGCAGGGTGGCCCCATGCCTTCCCTGCTGCCGCTGGGGGAGAGGAGGCTGGTTGCTGTGTCGTACCCCTCCTTTAGCCCTGGGAATGACAGCAGAGATGTAGCCTGTCACTAAAGAGCTAGAAAATAGCTGGTATGCCTGCAGTACAGGTGACTGGTGTGGGCAGCAGCTCCTGCTCACCTCTTGCTGGTGGGGTGAGCCCATGGGTGGGCGGTGCCATGGGACAGCACTGGACGCTGCCCACAGTGCAGCTGTGCCCATGGCCGGCTTGTGCCTGCTGTTTGGCCAGAGCCCTGCACGGGGTGCGAAGCTGGGCAGTACTGGCAGTGCCTCACAGCAGGTTGTCACTGTGGTACAGTCAGGGACTTGGTGCGGGTTGTTGCCTGGGGAGTGGGCAGTGAGCAGGTCATGGGTGTTGGAGTGATGCTGAGCGTTGCCTGAGCTGCTCTGGGCGGTGGTCATGGCAGCCTCCTGGTGCAAGGAGGTGCTGTGGTGCAGGCTGCGGCTGGAAGTCAGGTTACAACTTTGCCGCTGGCTGTTGCATGCGGTAGGGGTGGGTTCAAGGTGTTGCCAGCTACTCCAGGTGTTCGGTGCTGCTGGTGCTGGGCCGAATAAAAGCCGCCCCCCCCCCCCG